GAGAACCTGACTCCAGTGTCATAAGAGGATGAATGACCTGCTGCCAGGGTGTACCACTGCTCAGTGCTCCATGTTCCTATGAGTGTGAGTTGGCATTATAAAGCTGGCACTACACAGGACTGTCACACAGGAGGATGGGTGCCAGGTATCTCCATCAGATCATGTCTAGTCAATGCCCGTCACTTCCATGCAGCTAGCAGTGTAGCATTATTGGCACCACAGTGGCACTGCCTCACACATTTCTGCCATGATTTATACTTAATAGAGAAAAACATAAAACACTTAACAGTTCTTGCACCATCAGCACCAGCACTGAACCTTTCATCACAACAGAGAGCACATCTGAGAGCTTTTCAATGAAGGCTTGCATCGAACAGTGACACACTCACAAAAGACGACTGTTTGAGTGGATCCCTTTTCGATTTCAGCCCTGCTTTCTTGCATTGGTCAGACTTTCTAGAGTGTCTCAGAGATAGTAGGAACTGCAGATGCTGGGTTCATCCAGACAACAACCTACAGATCTCGGATTCTCCAGCATCTGCAGCAGCATCAGAGGAGCAGAAAGGCTGACGTTTCTGATGAAGGGTCTAGGCCCGAAATGTCAGCCTTTCTGCTCCTATGATGCTGCTTGGCCTGCTGTGTTCATCCAGCTCCGCACTTGTTGTTTCTAGAGTGGCTGCCTTGCTCAGGCAGGCTTGTTGGTTTGGTGAGACTTCACCACTAACAATAAGCATTTAACAACAACAAGCCAGAGGCTGAGCCAATCAACATGGAGAGGCTTCACTATAACACTGTAAAGATTGGTGCAAAAAAAACGCATTGGTTATGAAGGAGCCAAGTAACTGAAGAAGTTTGTAGTCACATGAGCTTGGAGGAGGTTGTCTACACTGCCAAGTACATGCCTCAGCTACATAGTTAGAGTTGTGAACCCCTGTGTTTTAGTTTTGGTTTAGAAGATTGCTCCTGTAAAGATAACTCCTTCAGGTTGAGGTGTTCGTGAGTATTCATGACGTACTAATGAATGCAAAACGTGTGCCTGTACATGTATGTCAGGAAAGCCTGTAAGATTGAATTGTTTTCTTTTAATCATTTTAGTGTGATTAACGAAGTAATGATTTAAATTATGTTCTGTTTAATTGTGTTTAGCTGTAAAACATTTTCTGTAAGTAAAAATGGTCAAATGGTCAGGTCAAAGTAGGGTCATAGCTTTAATGCTTTAGGACTTCTATATGACCCAATCTAATGTAAACCCAGGATAATAAATGCTTACTTAAGGCACAACTATGTTTTAAATCTGTATAATTTTGCAACTTAAATGTATGTAACAGATCAATACGTAATGGTTTTGTATGGATATTTTGAGAATTATGTAGTTTGCTGAAATTTATATATTTTGCAATAATATTTTGCTGCTTCAGTCTTTACATTCTTCAAAATAATGAAAGGGTGTGTTTTTGCCCCGTGTCTCCTATTTCATTTGGAGAACAAAGGAAGCCATTATGGTCTTTTTCAAGTGGTTTTACTTGTTTCAGGCACTCAGCAGTTATTATGAAGTCACAGGTGGTTGCTTTACCCAAAAGATATCAATTAGGCTTTGGGATTTTCCAGAATACTTAGATGTATCAGTTGGGACATTGGCATGATGTTAATCACAAGGGTGTGACAGTACATATTCTCACCAGACACACAAATTACTCTGATGGTGCCTCATAATCTTGGTAGAAATCTATAAAGCTAATGCTATCTTCTTTGGTTATCCCTTGTGATTGAGTAGCCAGTTTATTTTGGAAGTCTTGTGTCAGCTGTATGGGCACTGTGGCCAGCATCATATAGGCGATTGACAGTAACCAGTGCCTCAGTGCTGGCGATGTTGTTAGAAAGTTCCTGAACTGAAAGCGACAGGCTGCAATTAAAGAGAAGATCCAAAAAAATGACTGACATCTCAGAGGACAAGTCAGGAGACATAGAAATGTAGGAACGGGAATAGGCCATTCAGCCCTGTGAGCCTGTCCTGCCATTCAATAAGATCATGGCTGATCTGTGGCCTAACTGCATATACCGGCCTTTGGCTTACATCCCTTAATATCTTTGCTTAACAAAAAAAAAATCATTTCACACTTAAAATTAACAACTGATCCAACATCAACCGTCAACTGTGGAAGCAAGTTCCAAATCTTAGCCACCCTTTGTGTGTAGAAGTGCTTCCTAACATCTCTCCTGAACAGTCTGGATCTAATTCTCAGACTATGCCCCTAGTTCTAGAATTTCCAACTAGTGGCAATAGTGTATCTTTATTCACCTTGTGTTTTCCTGTTAATAACTTGACGACTTTGACTAGATCACCCCTTAACCTTCTGAAATCTAGAGAAAACAGGCCTAATTTGTACAAGAGATAGTAGGAACTGCAGATGCTGGAGAATCCGAGACAACAAGGTGCAGAGCTGGATGAACACACAGGAAGGCTGACGTTTCGGGCCTAGACCCTTCATCAGAAAGGGTCTAGGCCCGAAACGTCAGCCTTTCTGCTCCTATGATGCTGCTTCGCCT